TGCGTACCCTGCCCTTCGGATGCGCCCGGGGCCCCTGCTGCCTGGCAGATTCCTCCAGCTCAGATGCCACCTGCCCCGAAATGCACGCGGTGTTTACACAGCCCCAGTGGGAACCCCTGTGGGCTCTGCTTCGGGTCCTGGGCGCTGTCCTGGCACTCACACCGCATCCCTGAAGACCGGCATTGGTGTCCGTTCAGAGGCGCAGCAGTCGCAGGGTTTACTGAGCTGCAGAGGTCACAGGGCTGGGATTCCAACCCTGCCTCAGACCACAACAGCCCCTGGGGCTCACACCGCCTGGCGTGCCCTAAAATGTTATTCTCCCCACGTGCCCTCCTGATGCATCAGAGCTCTTTATCAAAACACAGGAAACTCAGTGTCGATGAGACTAAGAGTAGTCTTACACCCCTATAGTTTTTTTTTTTAGCCATTACTGAATTTTGGCTTTTCCCAGCCACCTACTCCCCTCACTCATTCTCTGCTTCCCAATTCCCATAATTCTTTCTGTGATCCTCTCTTACGGCACCTCAATTTTGCCTTATATTGTAATTATTATTGTTGTTTATCTCCACTACTAGACTAAAAGTACCAGAGGACAGAAATAACTAACTTTTCATCCCCTCACAAATGCCTTGCTTAGAAAATCCCCACATAGATGTTTGCTATGAACACCCTAACCTGGCCTATTTTTCCTCAGTCCCAAAAGAAGCCATGTAAGGGTTTGTGGACAAAAATCATGATCCCTATCAGAAAAAACATAAGACTAGGCCTGGCTCACCAGCCCAGGTGGACAAGTAACAGAATTCTTTGTGCCAAGCCTTTATTTTGCAGCTGAGAGCAGTGCCGATGAGCAAGGGCTCTGGGCCTGAATGAACCTAGTTTCGATTCCTGGCTTTGCCACATATTACCTAGTAACTTCGGACATACCATTTACCCTCTTTAGCTTTCCTACTGAAAAGCACCACATGGGACTGTTGTGCAGATTAAAGAAACTGATGTCAATGTGAGGAGCCTAGCAGAATGTGGCATATAAATGATAATATTGATGTTGATACTAACCTGGAAGCAAATTTGTAGGGCTAGGGACTTTATTCCATTATGGTCCAAAGCCAAAATCACTACAGAAAAGTGTCATCTTTTAGAATATAACTGAAGTGGCTAAAACCTCAAGCTAAAGTTCTGTTGTTTGTGTGCTTGCCTGTTTTGCAGAAGAGAGGCAGAGAAGGCTGCAGGAGTACCTGGCAGCCAAGGGCAAACTGAAATGCCACAGCACCAAGTGAGTGTGTCTCCGCGGTCATGCAGGTTTTGTTGCCCTAGTTGCTAATAGCAATTTAAAGCCTTTTCAAAATATAGCTCTTTTGTTTGCGGTCTACTCAGACTGCCTAGGGACCCCATGATAATTCAAAAGGGCATTTCAGTCCAGGCATGACAAAAAACTCTGGGCCTTATCTAGTACACTGGCAAAGATTTAAGCATCGTTATTGTGATAGTCTGCAAAGAAAGGAGGAGAGGGTCTACAATATCACCCAAAATGCTGGAAGCTTTTCCTGTCCCTTCCGTTTTTCTGGGGAAAAGTGATTCTCATGAAGGCATTGTTCAGTAAAGGAGCTGAATCACCTAGACTCTCGTGTTTCTTGCTAAAGCAGAGAGCCGGTTTACCATTCCTCCATGGCTCACATCAGCATGGTCCAGCCTGCCCGTGCTGTTTGCACATTGTCTTCGCACTTACTCCTGAGGTGGACAGAATGTGATTGCTTCACATTTATCTTTTGTCGACATCTTGCCATCTTGGTGGTGTTATTTATCCCTCTTGCTTACCATTTATGTATTTTCTCCCCCAACGTATTGCTAAACTTTTATTTGAAAATAAACTTTTACAAAATTACCTTTTGCCCTTTAGTTTAGCTTCTTTTCACTTCGGGTTTTTTTAACTCAATCTGTTACCTTGATTAAATAAACAATTCATTTATCTGACAAATATTTATTTAACATCTATAGGGTATCAGTCACTCTTGATTCTGGAACTATGGTGCTTAAGAAGATAGAGATCCCTGCCTTCCTAGGGCATGCATTCCAATAGGAGAAGCAAACAAGTCATAATCAGAATCCTATTAGTCTGGCAGTTGTCCTTGGTCCATGTCCGAGAGTGAATCCTTATCAATTCTCCTCTATTTAACTACCCTTTTTTGCATTTTGTCTCACTAGTGAAGTATCATATGTGCCCTTATTTTTTAGTTATATGGCTTTCTTCACCCCTGAAAATTCACTATGGGAGATACTTAAAAGAAGAACATTTTTTAAAGAAGCATTTATCTTATTTGGCATTCTATCTCTAGTGTCTAGCACATTGCAGTGTTCACAGAATGATGTTTGAAAGAATAGGACTATGTAAATATGGAGAAAACACATATTTAATATTGATAGAATGCTGTTTACACAAAGGACATCTCTGAAAGAATCACCAAAAATGTGGGTTAGAGTGGTTGTGGTCTCTGAGGAGGAGAATAATGGGACTAAGGAAGACATGATGAGACTTTTATTGAGTATAATTTTGAATTATTTTACCATACACAGAAATTCTAATGATTTAATACTCTAATCGTAAGTCTATTCACAACAAAAAAATCATAAGAATTTTTAATCACTATACTTCCCAAGCCTTGCTGATCCTTCTGTAATGAGAATTAATCTTATGTTGTCTTTTACAGGCCTTATCTAAAAGCCAAGATTAATTGCCCAAATCCTCCACCTTCCAAATTGGTAAGTAGAAATCAGTCTTTTAAAAAATATCTATTTTGGGTGGTTAATAATAAAAATAACAAAGATGTTAGCAACCTAAAGAACATGTTTTCCAAAGGTATTTCTTATAAGAACAGTTTGGTTTAATGGGAGACAGAGTCATTTTTTGGAAAGTGTAACATATTATAGTTCAGTTTTGTTACCAAAATAAATCTGTAGGTGCACTTAGGTCCTCTTAACAGCTAGCATTTATTGAATACTCACTATGTGTCTAGTGTTTTTCTGACTTGCATTAACTCTTTGAGTCCTTACAACCTTATGAGGTAGGTACTATTAGTAGCCATATTTTACAGATGGGGAAACTGAGTCACGGGTTAAGTAACTTCCCATGGTCACATAGTTATTAAGTGACAGAGCTGAGAGCCTGTCATCTTAACCACTTTGGTATGCTGTCATGAAGTTAAATAGCTCAGTAGTCATTAAAAAGAAAACACCTATGTTGGGTCTTCCAAGTTATTTAACAAGAATATGCTTCCTAATCAGTTCAGTTCAGCTGCATTGTGAATAGACTGGTAGGTATATCCTAACATACTTAAGGTTTCAATGAGAGAAATTAGCCTTCTGAAAGTGGCACAAATTCTTTGTTTATAATAAAATAATCACTAAAAGAATCCCAATTTTAATTTTTAAACCATATTTTATCTAAGTTCTATAGAGTAACTGAAATAATGTTGTATAAAGTGAGACATTGGTACCAGTTTTAATAAGTTTCAATGATTCAGTCACTAAACACATACATATATATATACACAACAGCTATATGCATAGGCATATATATGTCATATATGGACCATATACGTTATGTGTACATGTGACATGGTTGGACCCTGGAGGATAGAAAACATATAAAGCAAAATTGGTACATGATGTGAACAGTTGGGAATCACTGGGTTAGACTTGTGCTTTATGCAGAGTGAACTAGTATAGCAAGTCTTAAAGGAAGAATCTGGAAAAGACCCTTGTTCAAAGCTCCTAGAGGCTTCTATGGAAACTGGCAATACTGATTTCAGTAAATCATCTCTTAAAAGAAGTGATATCTACCTTATCTGTCTTACACAGTTATGAAGATAAAAATGTAATGGGGGATGCAATTATGGAATAGGAGAAACTAAAAGGCAAATAATAGTCATTAGTACAATTGCATAATGCTTTACAATTTAAAAAACATTTTTATACCTACTGTAATAGCTAACATTTGAGCACTCATTTTCTTCAGATAATGGACAAAACACTTTACCACAAAAGCATGGCTATATGATTTAATGTCCATATACCTTTGAAAGTAGAAGGAGGTGCTGTTAATAATTACGTTGGGCCAACAGGCATGAATCTATACTATCTTACAAAAACCAGGAGATTATGGCACTCTTCCTAAAAGGTAGATATCATTATTATTTTGTTATCATTATTAGTATTCCCATTTTACAGATGAGAGGACTCAGGCTCAAAGAGATTAAGTAAGCCAAAATTATACAGCCAGGAAGGGTCAGTCAAACCCAGGACTTGAACAAAGCTTTTCTGGCATACTCCTACTGCAGTGTTACTACTCAAAGGAACAACACAAAGTTTTTCATTTTCTGTTCCTATCCTGGAGTTTTAACATATTGAACCAAAAGTTGAAACGATTCCTTGAAACCATGCTCTTAACGTTTATTGAGAAACAGTAACGAATAATAGTTAAAAATTGCCTAGGTTCAATCCTAACTCCTTCATTTTCTAGCTAAGTGGCATTAGGTAAGTTATTTGACTTTATCTGGAATAAAACAGGAATAAAAAGCATATCTCATATAGTTGTTCGAAAGGATTGAGTTAGTGCATATTGAAATACATCTTGAAATGTCTGCAGTTGGGGTATATGTTGTTCTAGACGTGCATAAAATATCTCCAGTGGGTATGCATGGAATCAATTTCCATATCCTCAACTTCCGTATGTGATTTTGCCTAAAACTGGTCTGTTTTAGAATGTGCCTCACATACAGTTTCTCCTTTGCCATGTCCCTTGGCACTGTTCTTTCTTCCACTTTTCAATTATTTGTTTCTCTGCTTATTTTAGACAAACCACTCACCACCCATCCTATCCCTAGTTTTAATATGGTGCTTTGCCCTAATTTTAATATAATGCCTGCCCTCCAAGGCACAAAATCAAGGGACAATTTGAAATAATGGTGTTGATATGGAGAAAGCCTTTCATAGTTCAGGTGGCTTCTGGTTCTTTGCATTCAACACTGTCATCTGGTAGGACATGAAAAATAATGTTTTGCTTGGAGATCACTGTTATTTTTAATATAAGCTTCTGGATGAGTTCGCAGAATTGACTGCTGTGCTCTAACAAGACATCTTTTACTCCCTTCTACTTATTAAAGCGAACAAATTTCCTCAGTATTTTTATTTGAAAAAGAATAAAATTGATGCAAACTTCTGTCTCATTCTAGAAATAAGTAATATAATGTTGCCCAATGATACATGAAGTAATTATGGGGGGAGGGGAGCTCCAACCAACTGATTAAGAGATACATTTCTACTTCTTTATGAAAAAATATTTTAGTTTTTATGTTTTTAATCAAAATTGGTAACATTTATCTTTGCTGAAATATTTATGGTTATGGTAAATACAAATTTAAATGAATTTATATACACATATTTGTTGAGAAGTATGATAGGATAATGAACTATAAACTTCCAAACACAAAAATCTAGGATACAAATTTTGTGGTGAACAGGAACGAAAATAGACGAAGGAGAAAAGGAAAGGTATTATATTTTCAATCGTTAAAGAAGAATGTATAATTTTTTGAATGGGTTATAATGGGTATCAAGTTTCATTTTATCTTAAAATGTCAATATTGACAGTGTGCCTGAAATTACATCTTTTGCAGTCATCTAAACTTAATGAAAAATGTTAGATGTTAACTTTAAAACATATGAAAGCGTACAGAGTTCATCAAAATTATTTTGGGAGTACATGAACAAAAACACTCAAAACACACTGATAAAGATGAGCTCTATAATCTCTCCCAGCTCCATTATAGCCCTTATTTCATCAAATCATAATTTGTTGTGTACATATCTTTTCTGTTAGAGCCTCGGGGCAAGTGTCATCTTGCTCCAGCACAGTGTCTAGCAGGCATTCAGTAAATCTCTCTTGACTTAAGCCCCAGTCATATCCTTTGTGAATTTTTCTCCCTTCTCTGGCTTCATATGTCCAGAATGAAGGAATCAAATTCAGTGAATCAGTTGTTCCTTCTTATACATTTTGTCTTTGTTTTTTTAATCAAATAAATCCATCAGTTCTGCAGTGAGTTGTCAGTGAGACCAGGAGTCAGAGACTAAAATTCTAACTCCAGCTCTGCCTCTAATGCCTTGCCTAAACTTGGGCAGCTCACTTTCCCTCTCAAATGAGGGGTCAGTTTAATGATCTCTAAAATCACTTCCAGCTCTAATGGTCTCTATCTCCATGTTGATTACAGGTTCTTCTGCTAGCCTGATGATTCTTCTAAGCCTAGTTTTCTCTCTTGATGAAGTGCTTAAAACTACATGGCAAGTCTACCACCTACAATAAGTTAGCAAGGCCAGGATGATCTAAAAGATATAAAAACACTTCAAGAGAATAATTGCAAATTATATATATGATAAGATCTAGTATCCAGGATATATACAGAATTCTTATAACACAACAATTAAAAGACAACCCAATTTTAAAATAGACAAAGGATCTGAATAGACCCTTCTCTGAAGAAGGTGCACAAATGGCCAATAAGGACATAAAAAGATGCTCAACATCATTAGCCATCAGAGAAATGCAAATAAAAACCACAATAAGATCCCAATTTACACCCACTAAGATGGTTATAATCAAAAAGACAGATAGTAAGTGTTGGGGAAGATGTGGAAAAACTAGAAGCCTTGTACTTGGCTGGTAGAGACACAAAATAGTGCAGCCACTTTGGAAAACAGTTTGGCAAGTCTTCAAAAGTTAAACATAGAGCTACCATATGACCCAACAGTTCCACTCCTAATACCCAAGGGAACTGAAAATATGCTCACATAAAAACTTACAGCAAATGTTCATAGCAGCATTATCCCTAATAGTTAAAATATAGAAACAACCCAAATGTCCATCAGTTGATGAATGGGTGACCAAAATGTGATATATCCATACAATGAGCTAGTTATTTAGCCATAAAAAGTAGTGAAGTGAGTGTGTGGGAACAAAAAGTATATGGGAACTCCCTGTAATTTCCACTCAGTTTTGCTTTGAATCTAAAACTGCTCTAAGAAATAAAATTTTTCAATTGAAAAAATAAAATAATAAAGTACTGATACATGCTACGACATGGGTGAATCTCAGAGACATGCTAAGTGAAAGAAGCCAGACAAAAGGACACATATTATATGATTCTATTTATATGAGATGTCTAATCTAGGCAAATCTATAGAGACAGAAAGTAGGTTAGTGGTTGCCAGGGTCTGTGAGGAGAGGGAAATGGGGAGTGACTCCTAGCAAGTATGGGATTTCTTTCTGGGGCAATAAAAATATTTTGGAATTAGATAGTGGCAATCGTTATACAGCCTGTGAATATATTAAAACCCACTCAATTGTACACTTTAAGGTGAATTTTATGGGATGCAAATTATATCTCAACTTATTTAAATGTACAAAAGAAAACAGCCAAGGAAGAGCACATATTTGGAAACTTTCATATCAACACCCCCCTGCCTCTTCAGTAAGCAGTAATTGCAAGATGAGAGGTGGATGTAAATGTTAGGGCTCAGGAATAACCCTGCTCTAACCATGTATGTATACCATCATCTCTCTGCCTCCCATTCCAACCCTCCCCAGCCCACCACTACCAACACACACACACACACACACCATTCCAGGGCAGACATCTTTTGTCCCTGGTGCCAAATGGTTCTGGTTATAGACTTCCTTTACACACTCACAAGGCTTATTTAGTAACTCTGAACAGTACTATTGAATTAAACATAGAGTGGTAACTAGCACTCCTGAATCTTCCCCTGGAGACATATATTCTGCAAATCTCTACCAAGTTCTCCTGAATAATTTTGCTTGCAGTACAGATGCTCCAGAATCCACACGGCTTGACCCTATTATTTACCATATCAATTCTAAACTCCTCTCCCTAGTTTTTAAAGTTCTCTGTAACCTAATCCTTCCTTTCTCATCCAAAATTAAATCAGATGACTGAAACATTTTCTTGTTAATAACATAGAATCTAACCGTGAAACCCTTGCCTGACTTCACAAATATGACTGACTTTTCTACTGAGATGTTAGATGCTTATTGAGAGCTATTCCACAGTCTCTCAGGCCTGCCAGCATCTACCACCTATCCCTGCCCCAATTTCCAGGTATGAGACCAAGGTTCTTGAAAGACTCTGACATTTACAAAGGCAGGGTTATTTTTTAAAAAATCAGTGTAGCAATACAAAGTACTACTAGGAGGAACTTGGTAGGTACAAGTTTATTATGTATGTATATTTCCAGAGTCCCTAGAAGGACACTTCACTGGGGCATAACAGGCATTTGGCAAATACTTATTTGATTAAGGCAAATTTATTTATTAAATGACAGTTTTTGTATGTTCATTATATCTCTGCTTAATTCTATCAAGCTAAAAGATTCTGATATATTTCAGATAGGAACTCCAGTAATAAATATCATCTATTAGTGAGCCTTTATTTTCTCAGGATTCAACTTTGTTAAATGAAATAACTCATTTTTTTTTAAACAGTGAGCTGTGATTATAAATTTACTTTTTTTGACATTTTTCTTTGTCATTTTAGGCTTTTAGACCCAAAAAAGATGTTACCAACCATGTTGCTTTGCCCATCAATGCTACAAGACCCATCAGCATTAAACCTCAGCCCAGACCTACCAGCATCACAGGGTCCCAGAAGCCAAAGTTGGAGCCCCCAAAACTTGTGGGCAAGAGGCTGATATCAGGGTGTGTTTCTTCTAACCCAAACTGTAAACCGTTCAGCAATAGTCAATACCAGCAGAAAGCTACATCTTCCACTACTGGAGAACTGTTAAGAAAAACCGTGGGGTCACTTAATGTAAAGGAATTGAAAACTAAAAAGCAGCAGATAACAGATCAAGGAAATACTCAATGTACAGACTCTGTGGACAATGCCCATGTTGAAAATGAATCCTTGAACAGCTTTCTAAAAGAGATGAATAAAGAGAACTTGCCCCAAACCTTTCCAGACTCTGAGAGGAAGCCAGATTCTGAAGTGTGGGCCCTAAGAAAGCCAAAGACTAACTCTTACAATCAAAACAAGAGTAGTCTGGCTCCTAAACAAGCCTTGGGCAAAAGTTCAGAGAATAAAGCTGTTCTGAAAGACAGAGTTAATAAACAATTTGTTAGAGAAACACAAATCAGGATTCCACCAGTAAAGTCCCAGCAACTCCCTAGAGGAGCAGATCTTGCAAGACCAGGAGAAAAACCCCCAAAGATAGATCCTTTTCACTCTGTTAATAGAACTCAAACATCTAAGAAACCAGTGGTCAAGGACATAAAGGACTTAAAGGTTAATAGAGGTAAATATGAAAGATCAAATGAAACTAAGTTACAATCACGCATTGTTACTGAACAGAAAGTAAAAGGTACAAAGCCCTGGACACACCCTGGTATGCTTCAGGGTGGAAAAAACAACAGACATCTGAGCATTAAGCAAGATCAGAAATCCACTCAGACCTGTTTTAGACCTCAGACATCATGTGTACCTCAAAAATCGAAGGCCATAAACCAAAGTCCTAATTTGGCAGTTGGCAACTTTAACTCCATCATTCCAAGCACCCCCAGTGTAAGAGCAAATGGAACTAATGGGAATCAATGCAACAACAGCTGTCAACAAAAGCCATGGACTTTGGAAGCCAAAGTGAAAAAAGCTCTTCCCCAGAATCATTTTCTAAACAAGACAGCTCCCAAAACTCAAGCTGGTAACATGACCATAAATGGAAGACCGGTCCCAAAGGAGACCCAAACTAACCCAAATACTAAAAAGACCACAGCAGAGGATCGAAGGTACTTTGCTTTAATTTCAAACGTTTGTAATTTAAGATGATTAGGCAAATTAGTCATCAGGAATACTCAAGAAATAGGCCATAAACAATGGCACTAAATAATTGTTAGCTACAACCCTGAGAAAATATCTGGAGCAACTATAACAAATATTAAGACTTGACAGAGCTGAGTGGACATACTGTGTTATACATTATTCTCTATAAATTTCTTGGTGCTTGAAATAATTTATTTTCTAAAAAGAAATTGAAACAGAATGGTCGAGTAGGAAATACAGGTTGCTGATGTTGACTGTTCATTCAAAAAGTACCCTTCCGGGACTGAACAGCAATAGAAGAGGGCAGGGTAAGAGGAGATAGAAGAGAGAGTTTACATAACTAGGAAGTGGGGAGATGGTAGTCCCTTGACAAGCAGACAAGTAGTTAAATCCAGAAAATGTATCAGGGAAGCAGAAACAGGGAACTTTGATGAGTCTGAGCAGGCCAAGATTTGGAAAGTAAGCTAAGTCAGAGAGGAGCAGTCATTTTACACAGAATTCAGAAGGTAGAAGTAAGCATCTCAGGTTGCTGGTGGTTAACATTAACATCTGTGATGCTTGAAACTGAGCCAAAAGATTTCATGTCCTTTCTGCACAGGACCAGACATAATCTCACAATGTAGTGAGCCTCCCAGGAGAGGCACCTATATATACTTGGTTGGAGTAGAAAATAAGGAGATTCCTGAAAAGGGTGAAAGGAATGTGTAAAATAAGATGAAAGCTGAAAGGTATAGCAAGGTAGAGTGAGGGCAGGATTGATTCTCCAAGTAAATCCCCCAGCACCACAGATGAACTCACTGAAGAGACAGAAAACAAACAACTTATTACTTCAGGGTGATGTGACAGAGAAAGTGAGGCTGGGATGACTTCTTTCGATAGAAGAGTAAGGGGAAATTCAACAATGACATCTGGGCTGGGAAAAGGACAGTGACAGGAAGGATCAGCCTTCTGAGCAAAAGGAAAACTTGAGTACAAAGACCCTGAGCTGGTGAATGAGGAAGTCAGGGTCCCTACCCTGAAGTTCACAATAAGAGATGGTGGACTGTAAGGCAGTGTGTGGAGTACTGACCATGTTTGATTACAAAAAAGAAGGAGTCTGGAGAGGGACATATCACTCACTTGTTCCTCAGTGCTCCTTGAAAACCTACAGTGTGCCAGGCACGGGAGGCAGTAGTGGGCACACAGTCCAGCCTCTGCCCCTAGAGCACCTTTTTCCTGGTATGTACAGAAGTCCTAGAATAATGAAATCATGGTATTGAGGTTTTGGGAATAAATCGGCTTTAGAAAAAGCAAGTTCCCTCTTCATTTATGATTAGGAGGAAGGCTAAGGAGAAGCGAAGAATGCCGGGAACATGGGGGAAACACATCCAGATGTCTCAGCTTCTATCATTGAGCAGGGATGTTAAGTGAAGGTAAAGAGGGAGCAGCAGTTGGGGCTGAAATAAGCACTGAATTGATTGTGCTCTGGAGTAAAGGAGAGAAACAAGAGTTAATCAGTTATTGAAATTCTGGAAAAAGCAAAACTATAATGACAGATAAGAGATCAGTGATTACCAGGAGCTGAGGATGAGGGCAGAGTTGACTCCCGAGGAGCATGAGGGAATTTTTGAGAGTTTTGTATCTTGGTCGTAGTTACTGTTACATGGCTTTACATGGCTTCATGCATTTGGCAAAATTCACATAACTATACACTGAAAAAGGGAAATTTTACTGTATGCTATTGCACACTTCTGTGCCAAACACTGTGCTAGGCACAGGAACATCCAAGGTATCTGCCTTTATAGAGTTTGCATTCTAGTGGAGAAGACAGAAAATCAAAACATTGATTAAATACATCAGAATAATTACAGGTAATTGCTTCTCCAAGCATGTGTCATTTGAGCAGAGAGCTGAAGACTGATAATACAAGACCATGAGGCAGGAATGCACTTGGCTAAGTAACTGAGATTATGCCAGTGCTCCTGGAGGGTGAGCAAGAGGGACTGCAGTAGGACATGAGGTTGGAGAGGTAAGCAGTTCATGCTGCACCTCAGCCATGGAAGACATTTTGGACTGTATTCCAAGAGCCAAGGAAGTTCCTGACAGTGACTCAATCTGGTTTACATTTTAAAGATCACTCTAGCTACTGTGCACAGGATGAATTTGATGAGGGTTAGAGTGGAAGCAAGGAGATGAGTCCGGAGGCAGCTGCAGTATTTCAGGTGACAGTGATATGGACTAGGAGGGTGGTCATGCAGGTACAAGGTATACAGACTCCACAGTGATGTTGGATGTTGGGAGGAAAAAGGATTAAAGACAACTCCTGGTTTTAAGCCTCAGCAACTGGTCAGGTTTGGGTACTGTCTACCAATGTAGGAAGGCTGTTTGGGAACTGATCTGGAGATGAAAATTAAGAGCTTTGTTCTGGCCAATATTAAATTTGAAATCCCTGCCAAACATCCAAATAAAAGATATCAACTAGGCAGTGGGTTTTACACAGTTTGGGACTGTAGGGAAAGATCTGGGCTGAAATGTGCATTTGTGAGTAATAAACATGTCATTGTACATAAAGAAGCTGAAGCACCTCCATCCAAACACTTGGGTCTATGTGTCTTAGTGCCCTCCAAACAGTAATCTTTGGACTGCTTAGAAGCACCAGTAGAGAATGTGACAGTGGGAGAGAGTGAGGGTTAGCAGTTGGCACCCTCAGTGACCAACTTCTTAAGAAAAGAGCCCTGAAATTATTGAGCCTGCTTAGGACAGTGGAGGTCATGTGTGGTCTGGAGAGAGCTAAGGAACTGGGCAAAAGGAGTCACTTTGAGTAAGACCAGATTAAGGGCAGAATGCAGATTTGGTGGGTCTGCTTGAGTGACAGATATAAAGTTCATAGTGAAGGAATGGAGTGCTGAGTTAGAGATCTCAGAGATGGAGGAATGTCTTAGGAAAGCAAGTGTCAGAGGGAGCATACAGGTGAAATGAAATTTTTCAGAGGAAAACAATGAAAAATAATCATGAAGTAAGGAGTTTGAGGACTGAGACACCTAGTAATCCCCTGGCATAAGCATTCTGAAGGGTAGGGCACTAGTGCTGCCATTACCTGTTTGTACATTGTTTTTTAATTCTATTTGCCTGACTTTGTCTGTAGTTGAAGGTGGCTAATGATACTCAATCTGCATTAGCATATACTTTAGAAACTTTGTCCAAAAAAAAAAATGCCTAAAGCCATTCTCCCTCTTTAATTGCATAACAGGAAACAACTGGAAGAATGGCAGAAATCTAAAGGGAAAATCTATAAACGGCCTCCTATGGAACTTAAAACAAAAAGAAAAATAATAGAGGAGATGAATATTTCATTCTGGAAGAGTATGGAAAAAGAAGAGGAAGAAAAGAAAGCACTATTTGAACTGTCCAATAAAATTAACAACACTCTGACAGAATGTCTGCAGCTCATCGAAAGGGTAAGTGAATAAGCTCCCAAAGATTTGTCCCAGAGTCTTAAGAGTTTTTAAGCACTTTTCTTAGCTATAGTGTAGGGTAGATAACCTCTGTCTACACAGAAATTTAGTTCCTCTTTTTAATGTAGAAGAATAATGCAATAATAATGGCATGCACTTAAATAATGGCTCTTGTATGCCAGGCACCATTCTGAGCACTTGACTTACATTATATAATTATCATAATGACCAGTACTCTGCCTACTTTACAAGTGAAACAGACACAGAGAAGTTGGGAAATGAACCCAAGCAGCCTGGCACCAGAGGGGTCCAAAAGGGACTTTTGGCTTCTTCCTGTATCAAGGTCCAAAGAGTACACATTTGACATTTGAATGCAAAGCTGAAGTCAAAAGGCAGGGTCACATGTAAAACTGGGTTATCCTAAAGACCTTGGGTAACTGTGAATGTCACCTGTCATCTAAATTCTGCAGATAAGGATAAAGTAGGTGGTAGCAAAGAGTATGACCCTTAGAAGATTCCTTGAAAGAAAAAAATACATTAATAAAAACAATTGGATCGAGAGTATGGGATTAAAGATGGCAGCATGAGAGGTGAGACAGAAACCTCCTCCCAAAACCACATATAATATGAAAATATACTTAATACAACTAATCCTAAAAGAGCCGCAGGAAAGAAGGCTGCGCCAGACTACATACACCTGGAGAAAAGAGCAGAGCTCATGGAACAGGGTAACATACCAAAGCTGTGATCTGGCAGAACCCAAGCCTTTCCCCCACCCCAGCTCACCAGTGGGAGGAAGAGAAACGGATCGGGAAGGGGGTGGAAGCTTAGGTCTACTGAACAGCCAGCTCTGGAGATCTGCTCTAGGAGCTCAACCTACATTGCATGGTGTTCTGGAGTTTTGTGTGGCTGGAAAGCTAAGACAGGCGGAATACTTGGAGAGACTGACATTCCAGCCATGTGTGGAAAACAGGGATCCACATCCAGCTGCTCTGGGACAAAAGAAAGGTGGGCGATCTGAGAGACTTCCTAACAGTAAGAGGGCTGCTAAAGGGGCAAAGATTGCACTAAGCTTGTGGCTCAGAGAAAGGATAGGTGGATAAAATTGTCAAGGTGCACTCTGCCCAGCATGTTGAGAATTTACAGGAGCTTCAAGTGCTCCATCCCCCTGGCTGGCTACAGAGCAGCTCTGGGGCCCCCCACTGTGATACACAGCCTGCTATGCCTTCTTCCCAACCTGTCAGCACTGGCTCACAAATAGGCAGTCCCTGCCCTGGTGTCAGGCCAACCAGAGGGAAGCCCCACCTATGGAAGCTACTAACCCAAAGCACAGAGGCTTACACATGTGCATTCGGCCCACTGGTTCTGACAGTGGAGACAGGCACATTATCCGGAAAGCCAAAAACAGCTCTTTCCACCCCCCAGGCACCAGCACCGCTCACCTGCTACCCTCAACATCACTCCAGGGGCTAAGCAGTTCCAGAGAGTAGAGCTTCTGGGCACTAGAGGGTGCCACAGACAAATATGAAATGTCAAAGTAACCTGGTTCAAACCAAAATCCCACAAACCCCAAAAAAAGAACCAAGTGACACTGAACTCATCAATCTTCCTCAAAGAGATTTCAAAATAAAAATCATAAACATGCTCATGGAGGTACAGAAAAATATTCAAGAACTCAGAGGCAAATTTAGGACACAGATTCAATCATTAAGAAATTCAGTATTTGAAATGAAAAAAGGAGGGATTTAAAAATTGATTACATGTAGTAGAAGAGACAGTAAATGGAATAGAAATTAGAGAGGAGGAATACAAAGAAGCTGAGGGACAGAAAGACAAAAGGATCTCTAGGAATGAAAGAATATTGATGGAACTGTGTGACCAATCCAAATAGAACAATATTTGCATTATAGGAATACCAGAAGAAAACAGATAGAAAGTGTCTTTGAGGAGGTAACTGCTGAAAACTTTCCCAGTCTGGGAAAGGAGATAGTCTCTGAGGCCATGGAGATGCACAGATCTCCCAACACAAGGGACCCAAGGAAGACAACAAGACATATAATAATTAAAATGGCAAAGATCAAGGATAAGGACAGACTTTCAAAAGGAGACAGAGAGAGAAAAAAGATCACAAAGAAAGGAAAACCCATCAAGCTGTCATCAGACTTCTCAAGAGAAACCTTACAGGTCAGAAGGGAGTGGCACAATATATTTAATGCAATGAAACAAAAGGGCCTTGAACCTAGAATACTCTACCGGCAAGATTATCATTTAAATTTGGAGGGATTAAACAGTTTCCAGATAAGCAAAAACTGAGAGAATTTACCTCCCACAAACCATCTCTACAGTGCATGTTGGAGGGACTGCTATAGATAGAAGTGTTCCTAAGGCTAAATAGCTGTTAACAGAGGAAATGAAACTGCAGAAAAGTAAGTAGAACAACTAATTACTAAGCAGATACAAAATTAAATCAGCTACCCCCAAAGTCAGGCAAGGAATAGGCTAAGAGTACAGAATATGATACCTAGTATATAAATAACAGAAGAGGAAGAAAAAGGCAAAAAAAAAAAAACCTTTAAATTGTGTTTATAATAGTAAGTGTTGATTTAGACTGTTAGATAGTAAGGGAATTACCCTTAAACTTTAGGTAACCATGAATCTAAAGCCAGCTATGGCAATAACTACATACCTATCAATAATCACCCTAAATGTAAATGGTCTGAATGCACCAATCAAAAGACATAGAGTCACTGAATGAATAAAAAACAAGATCTGTCTATATGCTGCCTACAAGAGACTCACTTCAAACCCAGAAACATACACAGACTAAAAGTGAAGGGATGGAAAAAGATATTTCATGTAACTAATAGAAAAAAGCAGAAGTTACAGTACTTGTATCAGACAAAATAGACTTCAACACAAAGAAAGTCACAAGTGACAAAGAAGGACATTACATAATAATAAAAGGGTCAGTCCAAAAAGAGGATATAACCATTATGAATATCTGTGCACCCAATACAGGAGCATTTAGATACATGAAACAAATACTAACAGAATTAAAGGGAGAAATTGAATGCAATGCATTCATTTTAAGAGACTTCAACACACCACTCCAAAGGACAGATCAACCAGACAGAAAATAAGTTAAGGACACAGACACTGAACAACACCTTAGACAAGATGGACCTAACAGACATCTACAGAACACTCCACACAAAAGCAGGATACACATTCTTCTCAATTGCACATGAAACATTTTCAAGAATAGATCATATACGAGGCCACAAAAAGAGCCTCAGTAAATTAAAAAAGACTGAAATTGTACCAACCAGCTTCTCAAACCACAAAGGTATGAAACTAGAAATAAATTATGCAAAGAAAATGAAAAATCCCATAAATACATGGAGGCTTAACAACATACTCCTAAATAATCAGTGGATCAGTGACCAAATTAAAACAGATCAAGCAGTATATGGAGACAAATAACAATAATTCAACACCACAAAATCTGGGATGCAGCGAAGGCTGTGCTAAAAGGGAACTATATTGCAATACAGGCCTACCTCAGGAAAGAAGAACAATCCCATATAAACAGTCTAAACTCACAATTAACAAAACTAGAAAAAGAAGGACAAATGATGCCCAAAGTCAATACAAGGAGGGACATAATAAAGCTTAGAGCAGAAATAAATAAAATCGAGAAGAATAAAACAGTAGAAAGAATCAATGAAAGTGAGAGCTGGTTTTTTGAGAAAATAAACAAAAATAGATAACCCCATAGCCTGACTTATCAAGAAAAAAAGAGTCTACACACATAAACAGAATCAGAAATGAGAAAGGAAAAATCACTATGGACACCACAGAAATACAAAGAATTATTAGAGAATACAATGAAAAATTATATGCTAACAAACTGGATAACCTAGAAGAAATGCACAACTTTCTAGAAAAATACAACCTTCACAGGCTGACCCAGAAATAAACAGAAAATCTGAACAGACCAAATACTAGCAAAGAAATTGAATTGGTAATCAAAAAGCTACCTAAAAACAAAACCCCTGGACTAGATGGCTTCACCACTGAATTTTATCAAACATTCAGTGAAGGTCTAATACCCATTCTCCTTAAAGTTTTCCAAAAAGTAGAAGAGGAACCAAAAGTTCCAAACTCATTCTATGAGGCCAGCATCACCCTAATACCAAAACCAGGCAAAGACACCACAAAAAAAGAAAATTATAGACCAATATCCCTGATGAACATAAATGCAAAAATACTCAACAAAATATTAGCAAACCAAATTCAAAAATACATCAAAAAGATAGATCATGATCAAGTAGGATTTATTTCAGGGATGCAAGGAGGATACAATATTAGAAAATCCATCAACATCATCCACCACATCAACAAAAAGAAGAAAAAGAACCACATGATCATCTCCATAGATGCCAAAAAAGCAATCAACAAAATTCAACATCCATTCATGATAAAATCTCTCAACAAAATGGGTATAGAGGGCAAGTACCTCAACAAAATAAAGGCTATATATGATAAACCCACAGCCAACATCATACTTAACAGCAAGAAGCTGAAAGCTTTTTCTTTAAGATCAGGAGCAAGACAAGGATGCCCACTCTCCCCACTTTCATTCAACATAGTTCTGGAGGTCCTCACCACGGCTATGAGACAACACAAAGAAATAAAAGGCATTGAGATTGGCAATGAAGAAGTGAAACAGTCCCTGTTTGCAGATGACATGATATTGTACATAAAAAACCCTAAAGAACCCACTCCAAAATTATTAGATCTAATATATAAATTCAGCAAAGTTGCAGGATACAAAACTAATACACAGAAATCTGTTGTATTCCTATACACTAACGATGAACTAGCAGAAAGAGAAATCAGGAAAACAATTCCATTCACAATTGCATCAAAAAGAATAAAATACCTAGAAATAAACCTAACTGAGGAAGTGAAAGACCTATATTCTGAAAACTACAAGACAC